TGTGAGTGATACTTCATAAATACTAGTTTCTATTCCCTTTCTTTTGCCTTCTTCTATTTGTAATTTAATAGCATTTGTCATCTGAACCATACTCTTAATACTTAATTATGTGGCATTTCATATCACTGTATTGATTATAGATGGCATCATGAGTTTTCATTCATCTTTCCAGGTAGATAACAAACTTCTGGAGATAGGAACTATCTTACTCTTTTTCACCACCAATGGGAAAATCCCAGGGCTGGAAACATAGTACAAAGTCAGTATGTACTTGTTGACTTGATAGGAGAGAAATATGATACAAATAAGTGTTAAGAAAGAAAGGCTAGCCAGGTGCGGTGGCTCAAGCCTGTAATCCCAGCACTTTGGGAGGCCGAGGCGGGTGGAGCACGGGGTAAAGAGATCGAGACCATCCTGGTCAACATGGTGAAACCCTGTCTCTACTAAAAATACAAAACATTAGCTGGGCATGGTGGCGCGTGCCTGTAATCCCAGCTATTCAGGAGGTTGAGGCAGGAGAATTGCCTGAACCCAGGAGACAGAGGTTGCTGTAAGCCAAGATCACGCCATTAATATTTGATCTGAGAAGTAGGTTCTAAACATCTCTCTTTCCTTTTAGATTTCACGAGAGAGGGTAAAAGAAAATTTTACCCAATCTCCAAGGCTTTAATCACAGACTTGAGAGAAGAGGGAGGACTTTGTTTTTTTCTCTGGAAGTTAAGCTGTGCCCATCTTCCACTTCCACTCCCAGTCTAAAGATTATTAACAGGCTGGTCAAGGCGGTTCACACCTGTAATCCCAGCACTTTGGGAGGCCAAGGCAGGCGGATCACCTGAGGTCAGGAGTTTGAGAACAGCTTGGCCAACATGGTGAAACCCCCTCTACTAAAAATACAAAAATTAACTGGGCATAGTGGCACACACCTATAATTCCAGCTACTGGGGAGGCTGAGGCAGTAGAATCGCTTGACTTTGGGAGGCAGAGTTTACAGTGAGCCAAAATCTCACCACTGCACTCCAGCCTGGGTAGCAGAGCAAGAATCTGTCTCAAAACAAAAATAAATTATTAACAAATGTGATATTGCAGAGTATTAACTTCAATCAACCATTAACTCTGGACTGTTGATCATTGTAGTAGGGAAAACAGGTTTTAAAGAACATGCTCATTCTCTGGAATTCATGCTTAGAACAACTGGTTTTAAGCCACTCTTGAAGAAAATTCTCCAGATAATTCTTTTTTTTTTTTTTAAACTAGTGGGCCTATTTGGACAGATAATTCTTAAATTCATCCACCCAACTTTCCTATCTCCACTGCTTCCACTCTGGTCTAAGAGGCCATTGTCTCTTAACTGTGGTTATAAAAAAAAATATCCTACCTTCCAGCTTCCACTCTTGCTGCCTTTCAATCCATTCCCCACTCAGCAGTAAGAAAAATCTTATTAAAAATTTTTTTTTGAGACAGAGTGTGACTCTGTCACCCAGGCTGGAGTGCAGTGGCGTGATCCTGGCTCGCTGCAACCCCCGCCTCCTGGGTTCAAATGAGCTTCCTGTCTCAGTCTCCCGAGCAGACGGGATTACAGGCACGTCCACGCCCAGCTAATTTTTGTATTTTTAGTAGAGACGGGATTTCACCATGTTGGCCAGGCTGGTCTTGAACTCCTGACCTCCCGTGATCTGCCTTCCTCAGCCTCCCAAAGTGCTGGGATTCCAGGCGTGAGCAACTGCAACTGGCCAGAAACATCTTTTGAAAACATAAAGAAAATCAGGCTGTCTGCTGCTTAAAATCCTCCTGTAACTTCCTACTGTTGTACATGTGGAAGGCCATGTGGCCTAAGGACCTCCCCATCCGGCCATCCCATCTATACCACCATAGCAGATATACTGTGCTCCAATCACAATGGCTGGGTATTTATTCCTCAAGAGCACCAAATGCTTCCAAATGCTTGGGATCTTCTCAAGTACTGTCCACCTTGCTGCTCTGCTTCTCCACCGCTGCCCCTTCCTATGCCTGTCTTTGTTTATTCTAGAGTCCTTGTTCAAATGTCTCCTCCTCTGAGCCATTCTTGACACACCCGAACTAAAAACTTGACTCCCTGCTCTGCCTTCGTTATTCTTTATCATAACAGCTTGTTTCCTGTATAAGACTTACTAGCATTTGTAATGAAGTATTTATTTTTCTTTTTTTCTTTTTTTCTTTTTTTTTGAGACGGAGTTTCGCTCTTGTTAACCCAGGCTGGAGTGCAATGGCGCAATCTCGGCTCATCGCAACCTCCGCCTCCTGGGTTCAGGCAATTCTCCTGCCTCAGCCTCCTGAGAAGCTGGGATTACAGGCACGTGCCACCATGCCCAGCTAATGTTTTGTATTTTTAGTAGAGACGGGGTTTCACCATGTTGACCAGGATGGTCTCGATCTCTTGACCTCGTGATCTGCCCGCCTCGGCCTCCCAAAGTGCTGGGATTACAGGCTTGAGCCACCGCGCCCGGCCGAAGTATTTATTTTTCTTTTACTTATTTATTACATATCTCTTCTACTAGACTCTAAGCTTTATGAAGTGGTATCATAGACATAGGCCAACAAGGAGATGTTCAATAAATCTAATGGCAGCAACTCAGGACTGGCTTATTTTTGTCAAAGACTGAGACTAAGGAGAAGTTTAATAAAAAGATATTAATCAGCTCCTTGATATGCTTTGTTATGCTACAATTGCTAGGTAGTTTTGCTTCAAGGTGGGGGCAGGGCCAGATGCCTCACTGACATTCCTTCAGCACTGAGATTCTGGGAGTCGAAATGCTAAGAATCCCACAGGCCCCTGTCAGTCTGAGCCAGCAGCTGCTTTGCAGAGGGGAGAAAATAAAGTTACCAGGCAGATGGGGTGGGGGAGGGGTGGGAAGATGAAGGCAGTCATTGCTAATGGGGTATGACAGAGCTGGGGGGAGCAGTTTGGGGGTGAGGGAGGACCTTGGCCACCGGAATGCCTTTTTTCCCAGGACAAAGAGGGCAGTGACGCAGAGCACAGGGAAGGAGTGGTCAATGCAGCCAGGCGTGGTTGCCCTGGGAAGAGATGCCTCAACCAGAGGCAGAATTAAAATCTGAAAACAAAGAGCAGAACTATTGCTGTGTCTCCAGGCCTTTGGGGGTTAGCTGACTTTGAAACCCTGACTGAGGTCGGAAGCAGAGGCAAAGAGATAATGCCTCCTAATTTTAATCAAAAGATAGCTTAAAGAGACCCCAAAGTTGTCTTAATCGCAGGTTCTGCCTGGGTCCTGAAAAATCGGTTTCCTGCATGAAAAATACCCTTCATTCTGCAACTTCCTTGCAGCTGAGGGGTGGCACCTTATTATCCTCAGTGGGTATAACTGGCTTGCAGCCCCCAGTGCCTGTTTCACTGGAAGACATCAGAATCCCACTCTCGGTCTACTCAGCAGCCACATGGAAGCTGCGGCACACCCAGATTCCCACTGAGCCACCCTGGCATATCCTCTGTGAATCTATAGGTCCAGACCAGGGCATAAATCATGTTAAGTTATATCTTCAATAAAGTTATCATTTAAAAGAATTTAAAGTGTCCTCAGCCACAAGAAAGAAAGCCTGGACATTTCTTGAACAAGATACCCCTCAGAACTGAATCAATATTTCTTTTCCTTAAAAAATACTTTGTCATTGGGATCAAACCAAAAGGAGTTACATTTTTCTGCAACAATACTTTGAGCTTTCCTGTTTGAATTTGCTTTGTTTCAAAGGAGGTGATGGTGTTGTAATCTTAAAAATTTGGTCCTAACTACAGAATTGACTTAAGTAGTAGAGGTAAGTGATTCCTGGATAAACTATCCAGCTAAAGGTAACCAGAAGAAATTTATTCCTTTCTTTAATGAGTGTGGATTTCAATCTGTCCGCAACAAAGATAGAGGGAAAAGGAGATCACAGAAGGGCAAGAGGATGGAGGAACAGGGAAGTGTAGCTGTCCAACAAGAACTGCAGCCTTGCTGGTGGGTGGGACCTTGTGGAGGAAGTGATGTCTGATTCCTCTGTCAACCAGACCCATTTCCAATTGGCTTTGTGAATCCTAGGTGGTAGCCCCAACAAAAGGATGATGGCATTTACTTGCCTTTACATTATTTTAATACCTGGCAGAGGAAAATGCAACACTCGGACAACAAGCCTTAGAAATAGCATCCTGCCTGGATTGTTAAGACCACGGCAACTGACACATTCGGCCAAGTTCTTAAGGTGAAGTCTCAGTAGGCCAGTCCAGGTGTAATCTCACTCTGGCGAGTTGATAGCAGGAAACAAGATGAAAGATAAGGAGCAGATCTGAATAATAAATCACTGTTACTGGGCACCATAACACAGATAGGAAAATTTCCCCATCCTGTGCGGGCTTGCCCTCCTGCACAAGGAACGAACTACAGGACAGGATCTCAAACACACACCTATAGATGCATCTTGCAGGAAGCGTGCACCCTTCAATGAAAGATCCTCTTCTGCACTTGCTATGCAGCCCGGCTGAAACGGATCAGGTCTCAAACCTGGTAAAGATGGTCTTTCCCCTTGATTCTTGGGTGGGGAGTGGGAAGTGAGACAGAGGTGGGCCCGAGTTTAATTTTTAAATCATTTATTTTCTTGGTTCTGTGGATAACTGCAATCGTATCTCCTTTTCCCCTTCACTCTGTCCTGGGCTTCCTCCCGAAGGATGAAAGGATCTGGAAGCCGCATTTCTCCCCCTCAGCTAAGCCTGCCTCTTCTCCCCTTCCCAGACAGCGGCACACAGCACCTGGAGCCCCAGCATCGCCGACGTCAGACCCCGGCAGACGGGCGCAGTGGGGGCGCAGAGCCGCAGCCTTTCTTTTCCCAGCTGCACAGGAGATTTAATTTTAATTAACCGTGAGAGCTACAGCACTGAGGATTGAATTTTCGAAACACAGCACACCCGGCTTCTTTCTTTTTTTTTTTTCATTTCCCTTCCACCCTTTTCCCAATGGCATCGAAACGTAAAGAAACGAATGAGGAGTCTCACCCACACCTGCCCAGGACCAGCGCTGGCGGAGGATGCGGACAGCCGGCGGGGAGCGGTCCTGGTCCGGAAGGATGCAGGTCTGCAGCGGCGCGCGGGCGGGGCCGGGTCGGAGAGGGGGGCGGGGTCCCGGCGGTCACGTGGGATCGGGCCCCGCCCCGCCCTCCCGCCTCTAATTGGTCTGCGAACTCTAGGGGCCAGCGCTCGCGTGCTCTGGCTGTCGGCTGCAGGGATGGCGGGCTGGGTTAAGGGCAAGAGCTTCCTGGCTCCTGGTTTGCTGCAGGGCCAAGTGGCCATCGTCACCGGCGGGGCCACGGGCATCGGAAAGGCAATCGTGAAAGCTCTTGGAGCTGGGTACGTGAGCGGGCCGCTGGTGCAGAGACGTGGCTGGGGTGACCTGGGGTAACCCAGGGTCGGGAGCCAGGGGCTCTCGGCGGGGCTTGGGGAGTGTGGAGCTGCAGAGCGGAGCGGGGGCAGGTGAGTGCGAAATTACGACCACTAGGGGTACAGAAAAGAGCAGCTCTTCGTAAGAGCTAGTTTTTAGCCACTGGTTAAAAACTAAAGGGACCACTGAAGCCAAAGAGACTGTGCCCGAGGTAGGCAATAAGAAGACAGTGAGAAACATGCTGTGCAATTAGTTTTATATTCAGATTTAAAATGAATCCATTCTATATGTTTAATTTGAGTGATTGGGAAACGTGGGAAGACTTCATTTAACTGGAAAAAGTTGTAAACGTACTGGGAGTCTCTCACGGTATCTTCTCACATTTCTTAACTTACCCCCAGCAAGGAAATATACTGAATATTTACCTTAACTTGGGTGAAGGCCTTTGTAAACACATAAATGAGAGAATAAACCACAAAGGGGAACATAAATAAATCTACCTATATGAAGATGTAAATCCTCATTGAATTTAAAAAAAGTAAAGTTTAAGGGCATATGAAGAAAAATGTTTACAACATAAGATAAATTGTTGGTTTTGAGATAGGGTCTCACTCAGGCTGGTCTCGAACAGGATCCTGGGCTCAAGGGATCCTCTTACCTTGCCTCTGACTCCCAAAGTGTTGAGATTACAGGTTGCACCACTAGACTCGGCCAACAGTCTTATATATAAAGAGCTCTTACAAAAAAAGAAAATAAGCAAACACACTGATAGAAAAATTAGACTAATGATATGGACTAAGTGTTCCAAAAGAACAACTACAGACAGGCAAAAACATATGAAAAAATAATCAACTTCATTGGTAATAAAATATAAAATACTGTCAGGAACATGTCATTTTTCTAACAAAATTTTGAAACATTGGGAAAAATTGAAGTGTTGATGCAGAAGTGAGAAGGCAGGCAGGATGTAAATTATTACAAACTCTCTGCAGGGCAATTTGGAAAAAAAGATCCAAAGTCTTCACAATGTTCATGCTCTTTGACAGTAATTCCTTTCTCAGTTATTTAAGGAAACGAAAACAGATACAAGCAAAGATTTTCATGCAAGGAAAATGTATTTGAGTGGTGAAAAAGTGGAAACTACCTGAAAGTCCAAAATAAGGAAAATGTTTAAATCAATAACAACGAAATATGTTACCATTTAAATATCTTGCTATTGGTTCTGGCACAGTGGCTCATGCCTGTAATTTCAGCACTTTGGGAGGTCGATGCAGGCAGACAACCTGAGGTTAGGAGTTCGAGACCAGCTTGGCCAACATGGTAAAACCCCATATCTACTAAAAATAGAAAAGTTAGCCTGGCATGGTGGCGCACACCTGTAGTCCCAGCTATTTGGGAGGCTGAGGCATGAGAATCACTTGAACCTGGGAGGCAGAGGTTGCAGTGAGCTGATATCATGCCACTGCACTCCAGCCTGGGCAACAGAGTGAGACTCCATCTCATTAAATAAATAAATGTCTTGCTATTGAAGACTTATTTGGAGAAATGAATACCATATATTGGGAAAAGCAGGATTCTAAACCTGATAGCATTCCAATTTTACTTTTAATAAGATATGTAGGCTGGGCATGGTGGCTCACACCTTTAATCCCAGCACTTTGGGAGGCCAAGGTGGGTGGATTACGACGTCAGGGGTTCAAGACAGCCTGGCCAAGATGGTGAAACCCTGTCTTTACTAAAAATACAGAAATTAGCTGGGTGTGGTGGTGGGCTCTTGTAATCCCAGCTACTTGGGAGACTGAGGCAGAGAATTGCTTGAACCTGGGAGGTGGAGGTTGCAGTAAGCAGAGATCGCACCGCTGCACTCCAACCAGGGCAACAGAGCAAGATCCCATCCCCCCCCACCAAAAAAGAAAGAAATATACATGCAGGGCTGGGTGTGGTGGCTCATGCCTGTAATCCCAGCATTTTGGGAGGCTAAGGATCACGAGGTCATTTTGAGAGGCCAAAGATCATGAGATCAAGAGTTTGAGGCCAGCCTGGTCAATATGGTGAAACCCCATCTCTAAGAATACAAAAATTAGCTGGACGTGGTGGCACATCCTGTAATTTTATTACTCATGCCTGTAATCCCAGCTACTCGGAGGGCTGAGGCAGGAGAATCACCTTGAACCTGAGTGGCTCAGGTTGCAGTGAGACGAGATCATGCCACTGCACTACCCCTGGGCGACAGAGCAAGACTCCATCTCAAAAACAAACAAACAAACAAACGTATACAAGCGTAAGCCATTGCACCTGGCCATACAAGTCATTTTTATAATGACTTTCTCCTCTTCATTTTTTTAATGTCAGAATTAATGGCTATTTCCACAACATTGTTATATAAACCCAAATTGAGCAAAAAAGAAAATATTAACCTTTTTCTTTTTTTTTTTTGAGATGGAATCTTGCTCTGTTACCCAGGCTGGAGGGCAGTGTCGTGATCTTATCTCACTGCAACCTCCACCTCCTGAGTTAAGCGAGTCTCATGTCAGCCTCCCAAGTAGCTGGGACCACAAGCATGCACCACCATGCCTGGCTAATTTTTATATTTTTAAAAGAGATGAGGTTTTCCCATATTGGCCAGGTTGGTCTCGAAATCCAGACCTCAAGTTATCTGCCTGCCTCGGCCTCTCTAAGTGCTAGGATTACAGGCATGAGCCACCATGCCCAGCCTCTAGTCAGAAGGCCACTGGTTTTTATTTTGTTTTGTTTTGTTTTGTTTTTTGGTGTGAATTACGTTTTTTTTGGCATGAATTTTGAGGCATGACTTTTTAAATGATGATTACTGTATTGTCTTTCACATCCATAGGATTTTGACTTTTCCTTTTGCTAAGAGGACACAGAAAGCTTTAGCTCACAAAAGCAGGATATTGTGGGCAGAATTGGATCTCCTTTGTACCTTTGAGAGGTGCTGTTAGGTGGAGAGAAACCTGATTTCATCAAGGAAAACCTAAGACATCAAGTTGAATTCATATCAGGTCCTTTTTTTTTTTTTTAATCTTCAACTTAATCATTCACTTTCTGTTACCACGGTAGAACATAAAGTAGGTATAGTAGATAAAATGAAATTAGGAAATGCAGGTGGAAATAGGAGCCACGACAGCACTTTTCTTCCTCTAGTCTAGTCCAACTAGTGTGTTACCAACACCAGGGACCAAGAAGGTGCTTAATAAATATACTATTCTTTTTTTTTTTTTTTTTTTTTTTAAAGATGGGGTTTCACCGTGATGGCCAGGCTGGTCTTGAACTCCTGACCTCAGTTGATCCACCCACCTCGGCCTCCCAAAGTGCTAGGATTACAGGCGTGAGCCACCGTGCCCGGCCAAATATACTATTCTGAGTTGAAGATAGAAGGGGATCAGTATCAGCCTAAACAGGAACACAGCATACTGAGCTATAAGCCTCCGATGCTGAAACAACTCCTTCTCCGAAAGCTACTTCTATCCCTATTCCAACCAGGTCAGTTGAGCTTCCTGGATCTCTCTAGCTATGTATAAACAAAAATAAATTCTATCCAAATGATTTAGCATGAAAGGTAAGTATGATATCTAATAATTTTCTAGTTTGTTATAAGGTAGCGTAAGAGGTTTGTAATACATTAAAATAATATAGAAGTATATAAAAGAAAAAATGAGTTTTACCCATTCTGCCCTTTTTCTAAATTCCCTTCTTGGTGATTTTCTATAAATCTAATATGCACATGTATACACACACACACACACACACACATACACACATACATATATGTTTTGTTTGTGAATGGAGCGGACTGTTAATAACAGATAATTATGATACAGTGAAGGTCTAAATGCTGTATTAGGATGAGAACAGTCTATAACGATACCGCCTCACATAGAATTTAAGACTGCAAAGCCACTGCAGCCCAGCCTGGGCAACATAGGGAGACCTCATCTCTAAAAATATATTGGTAAAAGAACCACTTGACAGTTCATAGGTGGTCTTTGCTTTTGCATGGCATTGTAGCATTGTAACGATGATTGAGCAAGCTGAAACCATGCAAAGCAAAAATAGTCAGTGGGAAAAAGTACAAGTGTTTCATGACCTTCAAAAATTTTTGCCAAAGCATTAGAAATTCTCTTATTGTTAGTTACACATGTATAGGGAAATGAAAAAAAATAGTAGACCTAGACCGGTTTTACTGGGGAGATATTTGTTAAACAGTACAAAGTTTCATTTAGACAGGAGAAATAAGTTCTGATGATCTATTGCACAGCATGACGGTGATAGTAATGCATTGTGTATTTCAAAATAGCGAAAATAGTGGATTTCGAATGTTCTTTCCTCTTTGATTTATTCCCAAGCATTGATCAGTACTCAGGTGAAGATTCAAGAGGGACCCTTCACATCTCTGGAGTTCCTCTCTCTCTGTATATCTTTTCTCCCTATCCCTGGGCAGTCTCATGGCCTTGGCTGCCGGGACGCCCAACTTCATCTCTTCCACCAGGGAAACTTCGGTCTCTGAATGTGTTTCCCTCTTTTGCTTTAGTCTAGACCCTCTTACCAGGCAGCAAACAAGGGCTCCTGTTTGTTTTCACTCTCCCAGAGGTGACTGTCCAGTGCTACTTGACGCCTGGTGCCTGAAGACCATTGTTTCATATATTTTGTTCATGTTTTTAGTTGATTCAGGCTTGAGGGCAAATTCAGTTCATGTTTGTTTTCACTCTCCCAGAGAAGACTGTCCAGTGCTACTTGGCGTCCAGTGCCTGAAAAACAGTGTTTCATATATTTTGTCCAATTTTTTAGTTGATTCAGGCTTGAGGGCAAATTCAGTTCCGATTAGTCCATCTTGTCCAGAAGCAAACGTCCTAATTTATCTTTTTTTTTTTTTTTTTTTTTTTTAAGCATAGGAACACACATGGCCGGGGCAGTGTGAACTAAAAATACACAAATTAGCTGGACATGGTGGTGCGTGCTTGTAATCCCAGCTACTTGGTAGGCTGAGACAGGAGAATTGCTTGAACCAGGGAGGCGGAGGTTGCAGCAAGCTGAGATTGTGCCACTGCACTCCAGCCTAGGCAACAGAGGCTTT